TTTTATATATCCTGAAAAAGAGAAAAAAAAAATAAAAACAAACTAAAATAGAAAATAAATAAAAAGAAAATAAATAAATCAAATAATAGTTAAAAAAATATAATAAATTAAGACTAAAAATAACTAGTCATCGGCAACGGCGCCAAAAACTTGTTGCGTTTTTTCTATCGCAAGTATACGATATCTTAACAAGCAATATAGTGGATCTTTGAGTCTGGATTATCGTTTCCACGAGAACTATTCTTTAGACCTTAATTAAATGTTTCTAACTCCAATTCGATAAAAGCAAACAAAGAATTTTGATGGATGAGATTATGTTTTCTTAATTACTTCTAACTAATTGAAAATATCAAAATCTTGCAAACAACGATTGATTAAAGATTCAAATATATGATGAATATTAAGGCAAAACAATTTCATCTATTGATCACCTTAATTCTTAATTCAAGATTTTAACCTAATGTAGTGTTCAGTCGAATTCGTCTATTGTATTCAATTTATCCATCTCGAGTTCTCATTGAATCTATTTAACTAATTTAATTCTATATCTCTATGCGAATTACCCTTAGTTAAACGAAACACTAGTTTTAAAAATTCATATTATGACCGCAATAATTAGTATATGTATCTCTACACATTATACTAATTTACCAAATTTTATTATATGGTCTAAGTCTCAAACTCACCTCTCGATTCTTAAGAGAATCACATAATCATCAAATTATTGATCAGGTAATTTAATGTATTAAACTCATAATAAAACCAACACATATAAGAATAAATCACATAAATCTTGAATAGAAAAATAAAGGATCACAAGTCAACTACATTGTTTTCCGTAATCTGAAGTTTAGTCACTCATTATATAAAAATAAAAAGTAAAAGTAATGGAATGCATCACCGGATTTTAATAAAGATATAGAAACGAATTAAATCTTGCACAAAAATCTTCTTCCGCTTCCAATCAACGCTTTAAACTCGAATTCCGTGATGATTCTCTTCTTTGCATTGGGCTCTTCGATCTGTCATTGTATTCCCCTTTATCAATGTGTGAAACCCTTTATTAGTACCCCCTTAGGTTTATTTATACTTTCCTACACGTCCTTAGCTAGATTGGAATCTTTTTCTGGGCTTCTTGTGGCCCAATCAACAAAAACCCTAAAATAGGCGGCGCAACGCCTAGGCGCTGCACGATATGTGTCCAGGCAGCGCCTGGGCGCTATGGTACTGGCTTGCTGAAAATCTTCTGCATTTGCTTCAGTATTTGTATCATAACTTTGTCTTCCGATATCCGATTAAGGCGATTCAAAGTGAGTTGGAAAGATAACTCAAAGAGCTATAACTTTACTAGAAATAATTCCTTTTCAATTCGAACATTTACTGGGCCAAATTTGGGTCTCAATCTCCAACTAAAAATCTAAACATTCTTATGCGGTCGAAAATTTATTTGTGAAAATATTTTGGTTATATTTTCACTGCTTTTGACTTTTAATTGTATCCAATTGACCCCTAACATTCTCGAATCTTCATCATGAGCTCCGACACAACGTTTGAATATTTTCACTTTAGTTCCTAAACTTTGGATCTTGCCATTTTTCGCCAATTTTTCATTTCTTTTATCCAATTCTTTATCAAACATAAATGTTTACCTACAAAGATACAATATAACATAAATTAGGTAAAATTTTATCAAAATGATAATAAAATATCATCACTTAGGATCTCGAATAAGTATAGAAACTACACTTATCATTGGTAGGACATAAAATTAAGATGAACAAATATATGAAAACATTTTAATCAGTATTGAAATGGAAATAACTCGGAAGCTAATAAAATGATAGATAACAACAAATACTAGATCAAAATGGCCGATACCGGAGTGGAGTGATGGCATTNTTTTCTGGGCTTCTTGTGGCCCAA